TTCTAGGGTGTATCAAAAATACTTATACAAACTTGGGGGGTTCCTTACACCAAAACAAGGACAAATGTCCGTATAATATTTAAATTTTACAACGGTCAGTTTTCAATACGTTCCTGTCGATTGCTTTTACATGAAACTCGGAGTCGTCCCAAACGGTGAGAAACAAAATGTATATCCATTTTTAGTAGGCATATATATATATATATATATATATATATATATATACAGGCATATATATATATATATATATATATATATATATATATATATATATATATATATATATATATATATATATGTTTATATATATATATATTTATATATACGTATCAAAAATATTTTTACAAACTTTGCGGGCGGGTTCCTTTACACGAAAACAAGAACAAAAGTTCATATAATGTCCATGAAAGATCAATAGTTAGGGGAGGCCCATTACATGACTTGCACGTCTCCCCGACCTCAATACTTTGGGTTCTTATCTGTCGCGTCAATTGGTTTACGCAGCAGAGATTAATAATGCTGAGACGTTTCATCAACGTGTGATGGGGCCCGTGAAACCATTCGACAACGTGTGGGAGTATTTGAAAGGGTCCACCAGTCAATGATCCGACGGGTGCATGCTTGTGTAGAAGCAAGCAGAGGACATTTTGAACATCTGCTGTGCTGAGGTAAAACGATAATCATTTGGACATATGTTCACATGGATATTTTAACTTGTTTTGATGTCAAAGTTTGTCAAAGTATTTTTAGATTGTATCTTGGATTGTCCATTTCACAGCGTCTGACGTAAACTTTATACTTAATAACTCAAAAACGAACGATTTGCTGACATTTGTTTACAAGGACTTTTATCCTCGTTTTGGTGTGAGGAACACTCCCCCAAAGTTTGTAAAAGTATTTTTGATACGCCCTATATATATATATATATATATATATATATATGTATATCAAGAAAACGCAAAATTAAAACGCGCTCGTTTCTTCGATTCTCGGCTACTTGCTCAGCTGCTGTAGTCCATAGGAATCAATTTTTCCGTCTGTACCCGAGCGACATGTCTGATTGCGACAGACGTCTCTTTGTCTCTACTCGTAATGAGTGTACGCCTATTCTCAATGAAGCAAAATTAATATTTGCTGATCGAATGAAACAACGTATTGCATCTCGCAAGTTTGCTTCTAAATATTATTGGAGGTTCTGCAAGATTGTGCTGAACAACAGCAAATCCCCCCCCCCCCCGTTCAATCAATTCGAAGTCCTAACTTACACAGCTGATAAGGCTGAATGCTTTGCTCGGAAATTCTCATCCAGCTCAACCCTCGACTCGTCTGGAGTACCCACAACTGATTTAGTTCTTAGAACTAAGGTTTTATTGAGTGAGATGAGCATAACCCTGTCGATGGTATTGAACATCATGTCTAAATTAGATTCTCATAAAGCAAGTGGCAGTGACAGGTTACCAAACGTAGTCCTAAAGAAATGTACTCCTGAGTTGGCTCTAGTTCTCTCCAAACTATATAACTATTGCCTCGCTAACTCTTGCTTTCCAACCTGTTGGAAGTCCTCATCTGTTGTCCCTGTTTTTTAAGAAATCTGGAGACCCTGCTGACCCATCTTACTACCTATCAGTCTCCTACCACTCTTCGGCAATGTTTTCGAGGCTTAAATCAATACCGAAGTGGATAAGTACCTTACCTCCCATGATCTACTCTCTGACAAACAATATGGTTTCCGCTTTGCCCGGTCTACCGCTGACGTGCTTATGGCCATAACTAAATTTGTATACCAAGCTCTTGATAATAACAGCGAAGCTCGAGCTAGATATTTCTAAGGCGGTTGATGGGGTTTAGCATGCTGGCCTTCTATGTAAGCTTCAGGGATACAGTATTACAGGACGATTTAATCCAATCATTCCTGTCAAACAGTGAAATGAAGGTCGTCCTTAACGGGTTCGCCTCCAGTTCCTTTCATACGAACACTGGTGTTACCCAAGGCTCTATCCTGGGCCCTACACTGTTTCTAGTCATCATCAACGATATTCCTGATGTCATCGGATAGGCATCTACGCAGACGACATTATCAGTTACTCTTGTCTCAATAGTAAATCCGGCATTGCTGACAAAGTTAACGTGACCTTTGGTCTCGAAAAGTACCTCCAATTTGTGGTCGACTGGGACAGGAAATGGCTTGTAAACTTTAATGTCTCTAAAACGAAACTGTTCTCATTTACCCACCATAGAGTAACCTCCCTGTCTCCTATCAGCATGGCTGATGCTCAACTTCACGAGAGCGTCTCTCTGTGTCTTCTTGGTCTCACGTTTTCCATTGACCTGAGGTGGAACGACTATAGTAAATCAATAGCTGCATCTAGTGCTAGGAAAGTTGGTTCTCTGTGTCGCGCCAGAAGGTTTTTCTCGTCTGAGTCCATCCTCCAAATCTACGATTCATCTTTAGCATATATGGTCTGGTGCCCCGCTATTCATCTCGGGGTTCTCGACAAAATCTAAAGAAGAATATATATATATATATATATATATATATATATATATATGAAGAAAAATATATACGGAAAAAACAAACAAAATCCTTATATACAATTATGCTGTTTTAATGTTAATATGTCAACGTCGGACGTTTCGGTCTAATTAACCATCTTCAGGACATATTCATAAATTATAACATTATCAATACAACATTAAAACAGCATAATTGTATATAAGGATTGTTGTTTGTTTTTTCCGTATATATTTTTCTTCATACTGTCGGATCTATATCCATATATTTGCTTACATATATATATATATATATATATATATATATATATATATATATATATATGTTGTAACCCAGGAAGGTTACTGAATAGAATAATCACATGAAAGTTGGTAATGAACGATAATACTTAGGATAAGAACAACACATATAAGATTCGCCAATGGCTCGTAGAAGAAGTAGTCAACTGCTAGAAGTGAGTCAAGTGAATTCCACAATGAATCTCCAACTGCAGGATATCTACCATCCGCCCCATGAGGTCATATATGGCACAAGGCCGAATTTAATGTGGGGTATCCGAATCCGTAGGCTCGGCCGAAAATTCCCCATAGACCCCGTATAAAACGGGTTCGGGTAGCTGTTTCCCGAGACGAGACTCTGCCCTTCGACATAACCCTCAGCTGGGGATCCTCTCTGCCCAGCTGGAAATGAATCTCTGATTGCAGACCAACATACAGTATTTACTAGTGTATTTTTGCGAATGCGGACCTACCCATTATCGTCCGTAGGTATGCTAAAACAATATATGAATAAACACAAAAGGAAAACTTTAATTCCATTGTCCTTTTAGAGATATACTCTATGTGAATTTTTTACACACACACACACACACACACACACACACACACACACACACACACACACACACACACACACATATATATATATATATATATATATACGCACGATATATACACGAGTGGATGCTGAAATGTTCTTGGCCATACCCACTTACTAAAGTCTATGTGTGTGTTTATGTATAAATGCATATTGTATAATTTGGGCTATCTATCAACCTATCTATATGGAAATTGTTACACACACACACACACACACACACACACACACACACACACACACACACACATATATATATATATATATATATATATATAAAAGGTTAGAAATGCGTAATCAAATCTAGTTTCTGTGAAACGGTTTTCTATCAGTCATATTTCTTCAAATATATATATATATGTGTGTGTGTGTGTGCATATATTAGTGAATATATATAGTATCCCACTCCGTGTTTCATGCGGCTACACAATCTTCAGGTGCTGAATACGATCTGACAGTTAAGCGTTGCGAAATTCGCGTTCCCGTGGAGCTGATTTAAAATGATTTCTTATATTATTGCTGTTTATAATATTTAAATTAATTATTAATAATTTATATCGAGGAAAGTCATACGGTCGAAAAACAGGTAATTCAAAAAAATATTTTGAAAAATTTTGAATTCACGTAATTTAGTCTAAAAATATTTTTAAATAATTTTTCTGGCATATATATATATATATATATATATATATATATATATATATATATATATATATAATTATTTTTATAAAAAATGTTATAAAATCACTACAAAAATAGCCATGGCTATTTTTGTAGTGATTTTATAACATACTTATGTTATAATTTTTTTTATAAAAAATAATTATATCTGCTCTACTTTGTATTGAGCACTCTTTTAAGAATAGTAATTGTTGGTTATTGGAATTCATTCCGTATATACCAATTATATACTTGGATATATATATATATATATATAAGAGAGGGTCATAAAAAAAGAAAATTCGGGTGTCTGTTCATTTGGTCAATTTCTACAAGTTGGTTGGGATGAGAATTTTTTTCACAACCCCCTTGTATATTTAAATAAAGAGGCAGCTGAAATTTTTGGGGGCTCGTGCCGAAGAAAGAGAAGTTGGAGAATTTGATACTCACAGGTCTTACTGAATTCAAAGAGGGAAACAGTGAATAACATATTTAACCAGTTTATGTAAATGGCTGACAGAACGGAATAGGACGGATAGTAAGAAGACAAAAACAGCTACAAAAGATAGGAAGTTGTGGAGAGCCATGAATGCCCACGTCCTGAAGGGACACGACACATAGATGAAGTATATCTATATATGTCTTTTTGCGAGTGTTTGTGAAATTTTGTTTTGCGTCTTTGTTGATATAAGACAAGTGGAGAAGGAATAATCGTAGAAACGATGCGATTTTTAGCACAAGGTCATATGCGGAGAAAAATCAACTGTCAACGGCCTTCGTAATATAGTCTTCATTAAATAACCTTGAAGTCGGTGGTCGTTGGAAGAGAGACGGGGGTGGAGGAATTGCTAATGTTTTGTTGAGTGTCAGCGGAAACAGAGATATTTTGTTTATATCTATTTCAAAAGAATTTATGTTCGTTTGAATAACGAGGGGGAAAAATAAAATTAAATTAAATGAAAGAGAAAGTGACAATGAAAGACGAGGAGAAATAATGGGGGAAGCGGATAGAAGTGAGAAAGAGAGAAAGAAAGATAGAGAGAGAGAGAGAGAGAGAGAGAGAGAGAGAGAGAGAGAATGTTGTTCGTTTGTATTTTGGCGATTGTATACGCATGTGACATGATTTGTTTTGGTTTACGTAAACATGTACGCATTTACTTTCTAAGGCATATAGCTAGCTAGCTGAATATATAGATATGCAAAGACGGATATATATATATATATATATATATATATATATATATATATATGAAAAATACTCTTAAGGTGTGCTATATTTATGGGATAAACTGCTCAATATCAGAGATAGAGCGTGTGTAAATATAAAAAGTGAACATTGAAGTCAACACTTAGAGGCAACAGGCCTGACGATTGCGTCTAGCATGAAACAGCCTGTCGCTTCTAAGTGTTGACTTCAATGTTCACTTTTATGTATGTATGTATATATATATATATATATATATATATATATATATATATATATATATATATATAGATAGATAGATAGATAGATAGAAAGAAATGTAGATACTGACATAGATAGATAGATAGATAGATAGAAAATGTAGATACTGACATAGATAGAAAGAAAGAAATGTAGATACTGACATAGATAGATAGATAGATAGAAATGAAGAGACTAAGATAGATAGATAGATAGATAGATAGATAGATAGATAGATAGATAGAAAGAAATGTAGATACTGACATAGATAGATAGATAGATAGATAGATAGATAGATAGATAGATAGATAGATAGATAGAAAATGTAGATACTGACATAGAAAGAAAGAAATGTAGATACTGACATAGATAGATAGATAGATAGAAATGAAGAGACTAAGATAGATAGATAGATAGATAGATAGATAGATAGATAGATAGATAGATAGATCTATTTGGATACACTTCCTGTTGTTTCAATCACAGAATATAAAGACTTATAAGCGACAGCAACGGTTAACGTCAATCGTATGGATTTTGTTTATTTAACGAAACCCGTGTCCCCCCCCACACCACCACCCCGCTTTATGTCTTTTCACACTGAGAAGAAAGAAAGAATCCCTACCGGACACGTCTAAGAAAAAAAAATCATTTTATTATTCAGCGATGACACAGGAAGTGTCCGAAGCCCTATAAATAGATTATTTATTCTCAGTATAACACGGCATGTTTATATATATATATATATATATATATATATATATATATATATATATATATATATATATATATATATATATATATGAAAAGTGAATATAAATATAAATAAATATATATATATGTATAATTATTTATATATTATATGCGGGTACTTATTAGAAAGCGCTCAATGACGATCGCTAAAGCGTGAAACCCAGGGTCACAAACTCACATCTATCCAACCAAATATATATATATATATATATATATATATATATATATATATGACGTCATACATTATGAAATGGACAAAGCCCGACAATTATTTTAAGAATAAAAAAGAATGTATAAACATAAAATGTCTTAACATATATATATATATATATATATATATATATATATATATATATATATATATATATCCAGTTAACCACCACCTAAAGAAGCACGTATAGTGCCGAAACGTGATTGCATTTATGTAGAGCTCTATAACGTGTTTTTGTTATAATTGTTGCGTGTGTGTATATATATATATTTGTGCGTGTGTGTGTATGTGTGTGTGTGTGTGTGTGTGTGTGTGTCTGTGTGTGTGTCTGTGTGTGTGTGTGCGTGTGTAAGTAAACAAAACAGCTTATATACGTCCTGGGTATGACGATAAAATACATCCGGCAGCAAGGCCTCTGATCGGGAGGTTTTGAGGAGAGTGGAATTGATGTTGTTTCCAGATCCACCCTGACCCGGTGTGATAGCATCTGTTAGGGACCCACCTATGCCCAAATAATTACCCTCACGCCATGAAGATATAAAAAATACCAGCAATACCAATTTTTGTAAAGGAAATTACTCATGCTCCCAAGAAAATTAAATTTCGACATTAAATGACCCATAAGGTGTTGATATACCACCTAACAAACAAATTTATATAGCTTCATAACACTAAACTACAATACTTATAATAATGACTGGCGACCTGTTTCTTGGCTACCGAACAGTGACATTCGCAAGGTTCGGTGTGTTTTGTCAGACACGTCCTCGACACAGATACTATCAAGAATTCACAGCTTTGGCAAATCGATTTGGTGTGGTTCGAACCCAGGTCTGATGGTCAGCGGATCGGATTATATAATGATGGTAACTGATATTCAACATTAACTTTGCTTCATAGCGAGACGTCTTCTAATTGATTTTGGCATTTACTGGGTTTGGTTAGTCACAAGGTTATAGTAGTGGTAAAATGACCAAACGGTAATTACAGTCGGCAAGACGATCTTGCAAGCCATTGCTTCATGGTGAGTCGTTCACGACACAATTTTGCATGAGCATAATTTATAGGATTTTAAACTTAAGAACGGGCATCTACACTTTGGACATACTATTTACGTATGTATTTATTCTCTTCCATTCGATATATATATATATATATATATATATATATATATATATATATATATATATATATATATATATATATATTATTAGTGAATTTGTTATTTACCAAAGTGAAATTAGTAAGACACAATTCGTAATGGGGTTGGATACATGACGATAGGAAAGTGACGGAAGCCTGTCTGTCTCTTGTCAGTCTTCTAAAATCAGGATTTGAGATTTTGCCTTTTCTTAGAATTGTCGCAAAAGACTTAGACTTAGAAATGAGAAATAGTTTCTGAGTGGGCGTTTCTTTTATTTAATAGATTATGTTTGATTTTTTTTACTAAATATTACTCAGTGCAAGGTTCGAGAGCCATTCAAGGTAGGGGCTTAGAGTTGAAATAGTAACAATGAAAGATTGATTGATTCATTCATTTAAATAAAGGATGGTATATATTTGTACACGCGCACTCACACATATACATACACATATTTCTATTCACCAATTCTTAAAATATTTATTAAAATCTTTCCTTCTTTCATAAAATCTTTCATTCTTTCCTTCTTAAAATCTCTCTCTCTTTCTTTCTTTCTTAAAATTTCTCATTCTTTTTTCTTTTTTTCTTTCTTTCTTTTTAAAATCTCTCACTCTTACATTCTTAAAATCTCCCACTCATTCCTTCTTTCTTAAAATCTCTCACTCTTTTTTCTTAAAATCTCTCACTCTTTCTTTTTAAAATCTTTCTTTCTTAAAATCTTTTCACTCTTTCTTTCTTTCTTTCTTTCTTTCTTTCTTTCTTTCTTTCTTTCTTTCTTTCGTTCTTAAAATCTCTATTTCTTTCTTCTTTCTTAAAATCTTTCTTTCATAAAACCTTTCACTCTTTCTTTCTTTCTTTCTTTCTTTCTTTCTTTCTTTCTTTCTTTCTTTCTTTCTTAAAATCTTCCACTCTTTTTTTTATATATCCCTACTCTTTCATTATTTCTGAGACGAAATATCTTTCAAATGCTTTCCTAGTCGGCCCGATGATATTCAATACCTCTCCTGCAAGCGTGTGCGTGCACGCACACACACACACACACACAAACGCACGAACACACACACACACACACACACACGCACACACACACACACACACACACACGCACGAACACACACACACACACAGACACAAACGCACGAACACACACACACACACACATACACACACACACAAACGTATGTGTGCTGCAGAGTTGGCAAATTTAACTAATTTTATAAACACGACACTACAAATTTTTGATATCGCACTGTTTGAAACATTTAAAAATAAGCTGGTCTCACTTATTTAATAAGCTGGGCTAATCTGTTAAATAAACTGGGCTAATCTGTTAAATAAACTGGGCTAATCTGTTAAATAAACTGGGCTAACCTGTTAAATAAACTGGGCTAATCTGTTAAATAAACTGGGCTAACCTGTTAAATAAACTGGGATAACTTGATCTACGAATGCAAAGAAAGCCAATTCAAAATGAAGTATAGCCATTCAATTCAAATCTAGCCAAATTCGCTACTAATAGGCCAGTCTAGCAACCATAACTGAATTTCAGCGAAACCTTATCCAGTCAAACTAAATGGCACTTGGAAAAATAATAAATAATTCACTCTGGAAGAGAAGATGGCTGATTGTTTTTGTTTGTCAACATCGCTATGAGTTATTTAATGCCGATATCTAAGTATTTTGTACGCACTTTTTTTTGGTTCTAACTCCAGATATTTTGCACAGAATTTTATACCTTAAGGGCAATCGTATGTTTTTTAGATATATAATTTGTCGATGATAAAATATATTGCTGGTAATATTACTATAAAAATGTATGTCTATAATTTAGTGTTGTATTGTCATTTTGCTATAAAAATGTATTACTACCGATCACTTTTTTAAATAAATATATTGCTGGTATTCTTACTATAAGGTATTTTTATACTTTCTTAGGGAACAACCAAACAAAAATCGAAACACTATTTTCCTAGTCGTCCTGGGTAAGACGTTAAACTACGTCCAACAGCAAGGCCTCTGATCAGGAGGTTTTGAGGAGCATGGAACCACCTCTTAATTGCTGGTGTTCCCAGGTCCACCCTGACCCGGGGTGGTAGCACCTGTTAGGGTCCCAGTTATGGGCAAATAGTTAACTATTACCAGCAATACTTTTTTGAAAAAATTATTACCAGCTATACAATTTTGAAAGAAATATATTACCAGAAACAGATTTTTGACAAAACAAAATATTACCAGCAATAAAAAATTTTGTCGGCATTAAATAACCCATTGAGGTTGATATGCCGTTAACCAAAATAAACCAAACCAAGCCAAACTATTTCCCCAGAGCTGGGACCCTAACAGGTGTTACGACCCTGGGTCGGGCTGGATCAGGTAACAGCCGCAATTAAGAGGTGGTTCCACGCTCCACAAAAACTCCCGAGCAGAGGCCTCACTAACGGATGTAGTTTATCGTCATACCCAGGACTATGGAAGAGAAGACCTTTACATCGTAATATAGTAGCAATCAAAGTGCGTATATATTTATAGTGTATACTTCGTGTGAGAGTGGCTAGATTAAACTAAACTACTAAATTCTGGATTTTACTACTCGGGACTATCAGGGTTACATTTTAAAACCCAGCGCTAATAAATAATACATTTCGCTTTTTGTACCGGTAAATCGTGAACTTTGTTATTTGAGACTCGTGTGTCTATATTTAAAATAAGCTATACTAAGTGAGCTTACAATTACGAAGAAAGTCCAGTGTGGTCCGAAAGTCTTGTCCCCCATATAATTTTCTATTTCAACCCTCTATCATCAAGGAGAGAGTTTCACATGAACGATACCAGAATACCCATCAGTAGAAGGACTCCGTTCGGAGAACCTTTGAAACAATCAACAAAGCACGGCTTCGTAAAATATCACACAAATGATGGATGTCCATACAGATCTTCTCAAGGAGTGACAGCGTCAATGAAAGTGAATAAACTGAATCCAGTACATGTTGTTCTATTGTTCTCCTTACTTTTTGGTATGGGTGACAAGACTTTCGGAACGCCCTGTAAATTCAAAATTTAAAATATAACCCAATTCGTTGGGGCAATACGACATCTTGTTTCTCTAGATCAGTTACGACTGAGCAATGAGTTCGATCCTCACTTGGAGATCCCTACTTCCGGCCTTGTGCCAGATCTAAGCTATGCTGATTAAATCACTATAGCCCAATTCATTATTTTAATCCAACTTGGTAACCTCGATCGGGCACCTACTGTAGTATGTTAGTTTGCAATTTCTTGTTATATTAGTCTTCGTTTTTGTTGCAAATTCTTGGCTTGGTTCTTGTGCCAGAATAAAGTAGGCTGG